AAAAAATCCCCAAAATCCCCCAAAAATGAACAATAAATCCCCAAACCCCAGGAATTTCTAGACCCCCGGCCCAGCCCCTCCCCCCCTATTTATTCCCCGCCCCTCCCCCAGCGCTGCTCGGCCATTAAAGAGCCAGGGACGGGCTGGACTGCTCTGTGTGCTGGGGCCGGGCTGGTCTGGACTGGTTTATACTGGTTTATACTGGTTTGGGCTGGTGTGGGCTGGTGTGGGCCGGGGGGGCTGGGGGGACTGGTTTATACTGATTTGGACTGGTTTATACTGGTGTGGGCTGGTTTATACTGGTGTGGGCTGGTTTATACTGGTGTGGGCTGGTTTATACTGCTCTGTGCTGCTGGGGGCTGGGGGACTGGTCTGGACAGGTTTGGGTTGGGGGGACTGGTTTATACTGGTCTGGACTGATTTGTGCTGCTGTGGGCTCGGGGGGACTGGTGTGTACTGGTTTATACTGGTTTGGACTGGGAGGGACTGGGGGGGACTGGTTTATACTGGTTTGGACTGGTTTATACTGGTTTGGGCTGGTTTGGGCTGGGGGGGACTGATCTGGACTGGTTTATACTGGTTTGGACTGGGAGGGACTGGGGGGGACTGGTTTATACTGGTTTGGACTGGGAGGGACTGGGGGGGACTGGTTTATACTGGTTTGGACTGGTTTATACTGGTTTATACTGGTTTATACTGGGATCGTCTGGTTTGGAATGGGAGGGAGTATCCCCAGTATCCCCAGTATCCCCTCCCAGTATCCCCAGTTTCCCCTCCCAGTATCCCCAGTATCCCCAGTTCCCCTCCCAGTATCCCCAGTATCCCCAGTTTCCCCTCCCAGTATCCCCAGTCTTCCCGACACACCCGCGCCACCAGGTGGCGCTCTCCCGGGCGGAGCCGCTCCGGCCGCTCCTCTCGCTGCTCCGCCACCGGAAGTGGCTGCTCCGGCCGCCCCAATCCGCTCCTCTATGGTTCGCTCCTCCCCTGGAGGAGGCGCCGTCACGTGACCGAAACCCGCCGGGCGTCGCGTGACCGGAAGCGCGGTGACGTCACTGTTTGCGGAAGTGCCGGTGCGGAGCCGGGTGAGGGCCGGGGGCGCTCGGGGACATTTGGGGACATTCGGGGACATTTGGGGACATCCGGGGACACCTCTGGGGGCTCGGGGGGGATGCAGGGGCGCGGGGGCCGCTTGGGGGCGCTCTGAGGGGATCGGGGCGGGTTCGGGGCGCCGAGGGGCGAGGGGGCCGCGGGACCGGCCCGGTCACCGCCGTGTCACCGTGTGCCACCGTGTGTCACCGCCTGTGCCCCCGTGTGTCACCGCGTGTCACCGCCGTGTCACCGTGTCACCGTGTGTCACCGTGTGCCACCGCCGTGTCACCTCCGGGTCCCTCTGTGCCACCGCCGTGTCGCCTTCAGGTCCCCGTGTGTCCCCTCCGTGTCCCCCTGTGCCACCTCTGTGTCGCTTCCCTGTCACCCGTGTGTCACCGTGTGTCCCCTCCCTGTCCCCTCGGTGTCCCCCGCTGTCCCCCGTTCCCATCTCCAGGTGCCACCACACCCCGTGTCCCCCCATGGCCGTGTCCCCCAACGTTCCCGGTGTCCCCAGTGTCCCATCCCTGTCCCCAGTGTCCCCAGTGTCCCTGTCCCCTGGAGCTGCTCTGGCAGAGCCAGCACGCCCTGGGCAGTGTCCCACTGATGTCCCATGGCTGTCCCCAATGTCCCCAGTGTCCCCAATGTCCCATGGCTGTCCCCAATGTCCTGTCACTGTCACTGATGTCCCACGGCTGTCCCCAGTGTCCTGTCGCTGTCCCCAGTGTCCCTGTCCCATGGAGCTGCTGCAGCAGAACCAGCACACCCTGGGCCATGTCCCACAGCTGTCCCCAATGTCCCATCAGTGTCCCCAACGTCCCATGGCTGTCCCCAATGTCCCACGGTCGTCCCCAGTGTCCCATCAGTGTCCCCAGGTGTCCCCAGTGTCCCAAGGAGCTGCTGAGGCAGAACCAGCGCGCTCTGTGCCTGTGTGTCACTGTCACTGTGTCACTGTGTGTCCCTGTGTGTCCTGTGTGTCCCTGTGTGTCCCTGTGTGTCCTGTGTGTCCCTGTGTGTCACTGTGTGTCCTGTGTGTCCCTGTGTGTCACTGTGTGTCCCTGTGTGTCCCTGCTGTGCCTGTGTGTCCCTGTGTGTCACTATGTGTCAGTGCTGTCCCTGTGTGTCCCTGTGTGTCACTGTGTGTCACTGTGTGTCCCTGTGTGTCACTGTGTGTCCCTGTCACTGATGTCCCCGATGTCCCCGATGTCCCCAGTGTCCCCAGGGTGCCATGGAGCTGCTGTTCGGGCGCAGGCGCTCTCCCGAGGAGCTGCTGAGGCAGAACCAGCGCGCTCTGTCCCTGTGTGTCACTGTGTGTCACTGTGTGTCACTGTGTGTCACTGTCACTGATGTCCCCGATGTCCCCAGGTGTCCCCTGTGCCATGGAGCTGCTGTTCGGGCGCAGGCGCTCCCCCGAGGAGCTGCTGAGGCAGAACCAGCGCGCTCTGTCCCTGTGCCATGGCTGTCCCTGTGTGTCAGTGCTGTCACTGTGTGTCCCTGTGTGTCACTGTCACTGATGTGTGTCCCCGATGTCCCCAGGTGTCCCCTGTGCCATGGAGCTGCTGTTCGGGCGCAGGCGCTCCCCCGAGGAGCTGCTGAGGGGGGGATATTGGGGACAGATGGTGAGAGGGGACTCTGGGGACACTGGGGACATGGCAGGGACAGAGTGATCAGAGGGGACGTTGGGGACACAGTGGGGACATGGCAGGGACAGAAAGGACAGATGGTCAGTGGGGACATGGGGAAACTGGGGACAAGGGGGACAGCAGGGACAGATGGTGAGAGGGGACATGGGGGCACTGGGGACACTGGGGACAGAGGGGACATGGGGACACTGGGGACATGGGGACACTGGGGACAGAGGGGACAGAGGGGACAGAGGGAACACAGCAGGTGTGGGCGGGTGGGAGAGGGAGGAGGGGATCGGGGACAAGGGACACAGAGGGGTCTGGGGGACATGGAGGGACAAGGGGACACTGAGGGGGTCATGGCGTGTCCCCTGTCTCTTCCTGCTGTCCCCTCCCTGTCCCTGCCTGTCCCTGCTGTCTATGTGGTGTCCCTTGTGTGTCCCCTCCTTGTCCCTGTGATGTCCCCTCACTGTCCCTGCCTGTCCCTGGCGATGTCCCCCCCGTCCCTCTCTGTGCCCTGATGCTGTCCCCCCTGTCCCTGTCCCCGTCCCCATCCCTGTCCCCACTGTCCCTGACACTGTCCCCTGTCCCCATCTCTGTCTGTGTCCCTGTCCCCATGTCCCTGATGCTGTTCCCGTGTCCCTGTCCTTGTCCCTAACGCTGTCCCCTGTGTCCTCAGGATGCTGTCCCCGTGTCCCTAACCCTGTCCTTGCTGTCCCCTGTCTCTGTCCCTGTCCCTGTCCCTGTCCCTGTCCCCAGGACGCTGTCCCCGTGTCCCTGACCCTGTCCCCTGTGTCCCTAATGGTGTCCCTGTGTCCCCCGTGTCCCTGTCCCTGTCCCTAACCCCGTCCTCTGTGTCCCCTGTGTCCCAGGACACTGTCCCCATGACCCTGTCCCTGTGTTCCCGTGTCCCCAGGATGCTGTCCCCATGTCCCTGACCCTGTCCTGTGTCCCCTGTGTCCCTGTCCCTCACCCTCTCCCCTGTGTCCCCTGTGTCCCTGACCCTGTTCCCGTGTCCCCAGGATGCTGTCCCCTGTATCCCCCATGTCCCTGACCCTGTCCCTGTCCCCCGGCAGGACGCTGTCCCCTGTCCCTGACGCTGTCCCTGCTGTCCCCCGGCAGGACGCTGTCCCCGTGTCCCTGTCCCCTGTCCCCTGTCCCTGACGCTGTCCCCGTGTCCCTGTCCCCTGTCCCTGACACTGTCCCTGTGTCCCCCGGCAGGACGCGGTGCGGGTGCTGGCCAAGGACCTGGTGCGCACGCGGCGCTACGAGCGCAAGTTCATCGCCATGAGAGCCAACGTGCAGGGGGTGGCACTGCGGGTGCAGACCCTGCGCTCACACAGCGCCATGGCCAGCGCCATGCGGGGGGTGACACGGGCCATGGCCACCATGAACCGGCAGGTGAGTGTCACTGTGTCACTGCCCATGTCCCCCAGCTGAAGCTGCCGCAGATCCAGCGCATCCTGCAGGAGTTCCAGAAGCAGTCGGAGATGATGGACATGAAGGAGGAGCTGATGAACGACGCCATCGACGACGCGCTCGGGGACGAGGACGACGAGGACGAGAGGTGGGGACACGGGGGGACACCTGGGGACACACAAAGGGACACCTGGGGACACACAAAGGGACACCTGGGGACACGGGGTGACACCTGGGGACACGAGGGGACACCTGGGGACACACAAAGGGACACCTGGGGACACGGGGGGACACCTGGGGACACACAAAGGGACATCTGGTGACATGGGGGGTGACACCTGGGGACACACAAAGGGACACCTGGGGACATGGGGGGTGACACCTGGGGACACACAAAGGGACATCTGGGGACACGGGGGGAGACACGGGGGGACACAAGAGGGAGAGTGTGGTGACGGGGAG